GGGGGGGGGGGAAGGGATACATTACTCGTTCGGAAACGTGAAACCGAAAGCTGGAATCCGTCGAATGCGCGCGGATAAAGAGAAAACGAGGACGTTGGAGTCACGTTTAACGACTCCATCGTGTAACGTTGTGGTTGACGACGACGACCGTTGAGGAATAAAATAAGGTATATAAAGAATAAAGGAGCGCGACGAGCACAAAAGACGACGAAAGAGGGACGAGAGGGGTGGGATGGAAAGATGAAAAGTTTTTAAGACAAGGGAGGAAGATATGAAAAAAAAGGAAGAAGAACATCCGACAAAGAATTTTTTTTTTCTCTCGGGGAGACGAGAGAAGGATTAAAGAGCAAAGATTTTACAAAATAGAAATAGCGACAAAGAGGCGCGTTTTTTCTCTCTCCTTCTCCTTTCAAATTTCATTCGTCGCTTTCGATTCGTCGATAACGATGTGACGAGCTCTGAGAAATAAGAAAAAGTAGAAGCGCCGAAAAATTATTCGACGTCGCACAACTTCCATTCCACGAAATCGACGATAACAAAAAAAAAAAAGCGAGCGAGGTGCGCGCATAAGGGGGAGGGAAACAGAAGCGCGAAAGACGAACCCTTTATCCCCTTCCAGAATAAAGAAGAAAGAAAGGGAGTGGAAGAGGAAATCCCGCAACAGGAAATTTGAATTAAAGCCGGTGGACGGAAGAGGAGGGGAGAGAGGTCGCCATAAATCTTTTTACCGTCTTCAAACGGGAAGAAAAATCCCTTGGGGCCGCGCTCCGTCCTGGAAACCTCCCCTCCCTTTTCTCCCCAAAGGAAGAGAGGGCGGCAAAAGTGAAAGAAGAAGAAAAAGAAGAAGAAGAAGAAGAAGAAGAAGAAAAGGAAGTCGGCGTCGTGTCCGCGCGACGAATCCTCTTTTCTCGGTCTTTTCGCCCGCAACCCCCTTCTTCTCCCCTCCCTCTAATTTACTAACCTTATCGGTCTGTTTTCGAGCGACGCCGCCAGAAACAAAGGCGGCTTCGCGGCGTTGTTGGTTGGCTCGGTTTTGCGCCCCGCACGGGTCGTTGGTCAAAGGCGCGCAAATTACGCGCGGATACACAACACCGGAAGCGAGATTACCGGGTCACGTTCCGCGTACGCTCCACGGGATCGTGGAGAGGGGCGAAATTGAAAGAGAAACGCCGAGAGGTTGGCGAGGAACGATGGAAAATTTGACGAATGTACAAGGGGATACAGAAGATAGGAAGGGAGAGGAGGAAGAGAGATGGGTTGTTTCGTTAATTAAGCGAAGCTGGCGCGTATCTGTCGCGAGCAATTAACCGGGACGATTTGACGAACCGTAGCTGAACCGTTGTCTCCCCGATTGCAAGCCTTCGAAGACGCTTCCGTTCGCGTATTGTTGTCTGCTTGAGAATCACGGACTTAGGATGGATGGGGGAAACAACAGGTTCTTTGGCTATTCGGAAGATTGCGGCGATGGCGTCTCCTGGTCTTTTGTCGAGGAGAATGAGGAAGTGGTAATGAAAGGTGCGATTAAGGAGGGTGTATGTATATATAAGCTTCTTTGGGGAAACGTGCGAGGTTTAAATGATGAAATGGAAATTGTTAGGTTGGATAGATTGGAATAATTGCTTTATATGTGGATAGAGTAAAATGAAAGATATATCGGATGTATTATATAACGTAAGTAACATTGTTTTCAAATTGTTGAAAATTTTGAAATATTTATTTATTATTAAGAGGTTTCAAATTCTTTTCTATTATATACGAATAATAAAGAAATTAAAAAAGGTAATAGAGATAGAATAAGATGAAAAGTGAAAGACATCATTCTGTAGTAAGTAATATTCAAATTGTATTTGAAAGAAGCATATATATATTATATATTATAATGAATTTCGATAAACGAAAAGTTTATTAAGAAATTCTTTTCTATTAAGCTATACGAATAATAACAAAGACTTGAAGAAATCTTTGAGAAATGATTGGAAAAAACTTTTTAATCGAAAACGCGAGTGATCTTCGAGAGTGAAATTACGCGTAAAAAAAAAAAAAGAAAGAAAGATCCAATATTTACCCCAAGTTGATTTTCTATACCCAAACAAATCACCCTTCCTGAAATACCTGAAGCGATTAGATCCATTTGGAAGGACCCCCAAACGTTTCTCTCACGCTTCCCTCCTCCCACTGTAAGAAATACGCGGAGGGTTGACCTACCTTCCCCTTTCAATCTCGTCCCACCCTTCTAGCTCGCGGCAATAACGCCCCCCTCCCTCCCTCCCTCCTGGGGACTGGTAACGTTCGTTATCGCTTAAAAGTGTGGAAGAAAAACGAAGGTGGAAGTGGATACTTTGTATAAGAGACGGCGGACGTTTGTTACGGCGCTGCTTTCGTTGGGTCTCGCGCGCCAACCCCTTCAACTAAGGGTAACCGGATACAGAAGGTGGTGTTCAGAGCGTTGGTCACGAGGTGTTTAGCCACCGATACCGTTCACTCCTCGGTTTTAAACCGAAATATCCATCTCGACTACTCTTAAATCCCTTTTGTGCTATTTATTTCATAACAAAAAAAAAAAGAGGGAGGGAGGAGAGAGAAAAAAGAAAAAGTCTTTCACGTACTCTCTAAAACGCTCGTTCCAACTTCTTCTCGAAACTAAATTTTAACTCCGGGGAAATCGATATGGAATTTCTCTCGTGCGGCAACTTTCTACTCGGAAAAGTTTCGCGTGTGAGGTATCAAAAATGTTAAACGTGGGAACGCGCGAGAGAAATTTGAATAGGAAGTTTTTTCGTTTCACCTCGAGCCTTTCACACGCGCGCACGTGCGCAGTGTTCGAAGCGTTGCAACAACACGCTCGCCCCAACACGCTCAGCTTCAGCGAATTAGTCTGTTACGCGAAAGGGTGCGCACGCGAGCAACAACGTCAAGCTCAACTTGAAATTGAGTTGTCATCCGTTCGCCAAGTTATATGACGCCTTTACTATGTTGGCCCGTGATGCGAAAACTATTAAGTCCGAAACCTGATAGCCTCCTTCTTGCTGTCCGGATCGAGGGGCGGCGATATTAGGGGCAAAGGGAAGGAGAAACAACCTTATACGGTATATACCTCTCGCAGGGAGGTTTTGTTCCCGGGATGGAACATCTGTCGGTATCCCTCCCCCTCCTGCCGTGCCATCTCTGCAAGATTAGGCCGCTCCAATAAAACTGGAATATAAAAAAAGAAACGGCTGTTCTTAACTTTCAATTTTAGTATTATAACTCGACTCGAGAACCCGTCGTTATTTGAAAAAAGAAGAAATGGAAGGAAAGAATGGTGAAATTTATTCCCTTGTAATATATATCCGAAGCGGGACGTTTCCTCGGGATAAATTGTGTCAGTGGCGCGTTGATAAATGAAATAAAAGAAATATTTCACGGGAGAGGGAACGATTTTTTAACGCCACGCGGCTCTTCCATTTTCAGAGGGTCGAATCCTGGAACTTCATTCCCCGGATGGAGTGCACGAGTGCTGGTTGAGAGCCGCGGATAACGCGGAGGCGAACGTGTGGTTCAACGCTCTGCACTCGGCTCTAGCAGCTCTCACACTGAAGGCGCTGCGACTGGCGTCCGCGCTTCCGGATCCGCCGCAGCTTCAGCACATCGGCTGGCTCGCGAGGAGACACTGTCTTCAGGTGAGTGATCACGCTCGTTTCGTGCATGCATCCCTCGAAAATCGAGAGCGTAAGTCCACGAAGATTGATCCGCGTTGTCGTCGAGGGTCGCGAGTTCGAACGCGATGCATTTCTAATTTCATATTCCTCATATTCTTGCTCTCGAATAGAGATGATTCTCGAGAGAGAAATTTGTTGCTTGGATATTTATTATATGCATATGAATTACGTCTGTCGTTCTTTCTTTAGTTCCGTGAGGGATAAATTTAAAATTTAATCGAGGGAAGACATCGATTTTGAAAGAGCGAGGGAAGGGGGAGAGACGAGGCGCGGAGACGAGTTACAAAGTGTGGAATAATTAAAAGAAAAGGGATGAAAAGGAGAGATTAAATTGGCCGGGGAAGTAGTAAGAATTCATAGGGATGAAATGCAGCGGAATTAATAGTAGAGTCTCTCAATGGTGGACGGATAAACAGAGGATAGAAACAGAAATTTCTACAAAGGGTGGAAAGATGAAAAGTAGGATGGTTAATAAAAAGGACGAGGAGATGTAAGGGAAACACGACGGGATCGACGACTGGAATGGTTTGACTGATAAAACGACGTAGCTTGGGAGTTGCCAGCGCTGATTGAAACAGGAGGAAATGGAAAAAGAGCTGCTAAAATATAGGTAAGAATCGAGTCAAGAGGAAAGAAAGTGGGAGGGAAGAACAAGAGAAGAGGGGAATTTTACTCCTCTTTCTTCTTTTTCTTCTTCTTCTTCTTCTTTTTCTTTTTCTTTTTGAAAAACGGAAAACGGAGAATGGAAAAAAATGTCCGTGATAAAGGATGGGAAGAAAAGTAATTTTTAAGAAAGGGACAGAGAAATATTGAAAAGAGGCGAGTTTAAGCAAGAGCAATGGAATGGTTGAGACAGTGGAGGAGGGGTTGAAGCTCGAAAGAGGAAGCAGAGAAATGGAAGCTCGCCTCGCCTCGCCTCGCGTCTGGCTCTCGACGCGTTTTCTCCAGGAATCGAATAGGCTGAGGCTGCTCTTTCGCGAGCAGTTTCGCTCTGATGGAGGGTGACGTGGTGGTCCTCTCGCCGCAGAGCCAACCCGCATGAGCATACCGGCAATTTGCCACGAGCCCCAAAGCATCCCGACAAGCTTGAACGGTGAAACATTCGTGATCGTCGTCGACGATGAACGGAACACGAGGGGGGGAGGATGGGGAGACGGACGATTTCCTTAAGTTCTTAAGGATTTTCGACGAGACGCCATCTTCGGCCAGTTTCTTTGAATACATCCCTTTCAATCGCTCGACGGAAAGAGAAATAATTAATCCTTTCGTTCCTTCGTATTACACTTTATTTTCGAATACTCGAAAATATTGAGAAATTCGATATTCTTTCCGTTTCGAAACACAATTATACAATAATAATAATATTCTTTCACAAAATCCTTTCAAACAGATAGCGCCACGATTGGATTATTACGTAGCGATCAGTTTTTCGTTAATAAACTCGTTACAACACTTCGTTAAACCGTCGTCTAATTATCCACCGTGTCCGAATCTGTCGCCACGATCTCTCTATCGATCGAGACCTTCCCTCGACCCGCCCAATCAATTCGCCGCCCCGTGATTACTCAACCCGCGACCGAATCGTCGGTGCTCGCTTTTATAAATTCGTTTCTCTCTCGTTTCCCTCCATTTCCACGCTCCTCCTCCTCCTCCTCCTCCTCCTCCTCTTCTGTCCACGTTTAATTATCTCGAACAGGCGACGAGATCGCTACGGTCACCGCCACGCTCCACCGCATAATTAGATATCGAGATTCTTTCCACGGTGGTGGTGGTGGTGGTGGTGCGACCAACGGAACTTCGTTACAACGAATATTTTTCGCGGGCGGCGCCACCTCTCGCGGAAACAATCGTGGATAATTAGGCGGCGCGTAGTGTAAGGATCTGCGAAGAGAGAAAGGAAAAACGTGGCGGCACTCCTCCCCCTGTCTTTCCCTCCACGGATGAATAAGGGTGTTGTTGGCGGAGAATTCTCTTTCTACGCGTGAATTCGAAAAACTTCCCCCATCTCGCGTCGTTTTAATCACCCCGCGATTCCCCTTTTTTATCATTGTTGTTATTATTATTATTATTCTCAAGCTCACGTTACAACGTCGTTGAATTGGAGTGGCAAAGCGGTCGGTAGATGAAATTCGTAGGAATCAACTTCCGCTTGTTTTCGAAGTGATGAGAATGAATAAAAGGTAAAGTTACGAAGTGACTTTTACGAAGGGTGTTACGCAACGGGGCAATTAAGGTGTAAGGTTTCTCGAAATGTTTTAGCAAAGTAGAGAAATAATCTCTCTCTCTCTCGAAATTATGGTAATAATAATCCTTAAAATTTAGGATAACGCGTCACGAGCCTGGATTTGTCTAACCAATTTTCCTCGCCCGTCCAATCTCTCGTCGAAATTCAGAATCACAATTTTTTGTTAACATTCAGATCGCGTTAGAATAAACATATTTTTAATAATATCATACGCTCTCTCCTTCCCTTCGAATGTTTTATTCTCAAAAGAAATTGCGCAAACTTGTTTCAATCGTATCGATCGAGAGATCAATTACAGGATCTTTCAACGCTACGGTTATAAAACTATGGCGAATGCGCGGTTTTCTCGACCTAAGACTCGGGATTCTTTCGCGAGAACCGAAGGGATTGATAAATGGTAATTGGCGATGGAAAGTCTACGACTAATTGTCGTAGTTTAATTATCCGGAACGATTGGGCGATCGTTAATTACAGACTTTTATCGCGAGAAGGGTGCAAACCTCGCTTATTTGTACCCCTCTCGATTCCTTCTTCTTCGAAGACGAAGGAGAGGCTCGCTCACGGCTCTCCGCCTTCCTCTTCGCTCACTCGATGAATAACTTTTTTCTCGTTACCTCGTTTCTTACTTTGCACGCTCGATACGACGGACAGAAATTGTTCTCGAAGGGAGAAACGTTTTCGAAACGTTTAATATCGTTTCTTTTAATTATAACGATCGTGGAATAATTTCCGATGCGATTCGTAGAGATATAGACGATAAACTCGTAATGAAATAAAAAATTATTCCGTGTTAATTCGCGGTTGCGGAGCACGTATTATAGTACGTAGTGGATTACAGTTACACGCGAGAAGCCAGTTTCGCGATAAGGAGATTGATCGCCGTGTTTTCCCTCGGGTCGAAATTAACAAGAGGAGGGTTCTTTCGGTGGTCAAGTGGAACTGGAACGTTTAAATTGATAGGCAGCGGCAACCCTGTGATGTAGTTGTACGAGATTGATCAACCGCGGAACCGTGTAATTGTCCTAAGCACCACTTTTCCGCTCCAGTAAAATTATCAAATGATTTAATCCCGTTGAAGTGTTAATAGGCAATTGTCGGTAATCTAAACCGTGATTGCACTTGCTGAAAGAGTTAAGAAAGTTGTTAAAGCGTTAATAAGAAACGTGAGATCCCCATTTGTTACGCTTAAATACGTTATAAGATAAAGTAGAGATCGGAAAATCTTCGTGGCTTCGGGGACTAGATTCTTAGATTAGTATTCCGTAGGTCTCGGGTTCGATACTCGGATCGAGTAAAAAGATTTTTCTTCGAAATTATTTTTCTTAATTGCGCGTACTAATGGTATTTTATAATAAAACAAAAAAAAATCTTCAAAAAATTTGTAATTCGCTCTTCTAAGAAACAAGATAGAGAAAAATCTTCTCGGTTATCAAGGAATATTTTCCCTTGGATCATTAAAATTTCTCCTCATTCTATTTTCTTCGAAAATTTCCAACGAAATATCGAGTAAATTCAATTTCAGAAAAACCGGAAAAATCCCTCTTTTCTTCTTCTCCTTCTCCCTCCTTTTCTTCCAGGAAAATTTTCCAAAATCAAAATAAAAATCCAATTAATTAATTAATCCAAAATTATTCGAAAATTTCCTCCAGAAATCAAAGAAAAATTCGATTCTTTCTTCTCCATATTCGAAGAAAATCTAGATCTTGCAAATATCGAGCATATAAGCAAATCAAAACCAAGTTTGACCGAATTTGATGCAAACAATATCCGTATCAATCTCTCCCGGTCTTAATTACCGATCAGGGCAATGTTCGCAGTTGGGGGGCATCCTCCAAACTATCCTAGCGAGAATATATCGACTCGTTCCGATGGATCGATAACTAATATATACGATGTACGCGAGCATGATATCGATGAAGACCAACCAACAGCCCAAACGAAGGTGCTGGAGGGAAGGAGGGGAGGAGGGGAGGAGGGTACACGTGGTACCCAGTACATAATTGATTGGCATTAACGTACCTGATTGCCAGTGCCCCGTCTCTCTCTCTCTCTCTCCTGCAACTCTCTCCCACGGGATGCTTGAATATCTCTGGGACGACCGATGATGTTTGAAGATCAGAGCAATAATCAGACCAATACTACGTTGGAGGAAAACATTGGGGACAAATATGTGAAGAAGGAAACGGAAGAGAACGGGTAAGAAGAATAATAAAAATACGCGCGTGAAATATAAAGATATCTGAGAAAGATATCGATTAAACGCTAAAATTACAAAGCGTGTTAAAAGCGTGTAATAAAAACCCAATCGATACACAAAATCTTCGCGTATACACGAATACAACGCGATATGAATGAATCAACAAGATTATAATTACTTAAAGAGGCGAGAGAAGAGAGAGAGAAAGAGAGAGAGAGAGAGAGAGAGAGGAAACAGATTTCGAGATCGTTTAGGATGGTTAATGATCCAGGACAAGAATTCTGGTAAATCACAGGTGACACAGGCTTCGAGCCTGTCAGAGCGGTTAATCACGCAGGATTACACGAGTTTATCGTGGCTGTTTGCCGACGAGTGATTACTCGCGTGAAGCGGATCGCTTTTGCGGCAGGCTCGAGATTAATTTTCACCGTAATGCCATTCCCGAACGAGAGCGAAAGAGAACCGGCCCGATATAATCCCCCACCATACGGAACCGTGCCGTTCCAACAATTATTATCT